CTACTACTCCATTTTGTTGTGGTTTGTAGGGTGCTGAAAATTTGTGACTGATGCCCTTGGAAACCAAAAAACTATTCAATAGTTGATTAGTGAATTCGGTTCTGTTGTCACTTCTTATCCTTCTGACTAGTAGCTTGATCTGGAGCTCTATTTCTTTTATGAAGTTGATCATGATCTGCGGTGTGTCAGATTTGAGTCTCAAGAAGAAGACCCAAGTGAAGCGAGTAAAGTCATCAACTATAACTGGAATATATTTCTTGTGATGAAGATTGGCTACGGTAGATGGCCCGCAGAGATCAATGTGAAGTAGCTCTAAAGGTTCAATGATTGAATAATCGACAATCAGTGGATGGCATCCCTTTAAGATTGGAAGACCTCAGACTAGTTCTTTGGTGACTGGGTTGTTGATGTATCTGAAGTTGAGACGAGCAAGTTTGCGGTGCCATAACCAACTTACCTCCGATACTGCTTTTGACAGAAAACACAACTGCGATTCGCCAATGATTAAGGAGACATCCAAGGGATACATTGTCCCTTCGACTTTGGATTTGATGGAGCATGTGTTTCTATCATTTGTCATTATGTAGCAATATTCACTATCAAATTCAACCCAATGACCAGCCTTGCATAGGTGACCCACACTGATCAAGTTATGCTTGAGGCCCTCTACGTAAGCCACTCTTTGAATTGAGAAACTTCCCGTGGTTGGTACTCCATAACCACTGATGATGTCATTCCCATTGTTTCCAAAAGTAACGTGTCCACCATTACAGATTGGCCTGAAGTCGTGAAGGTATTCTAACCTTCCGATCATGTTCAAGGAGCAGGCACTACCGATTAACCATTCATCTTCTTGTACCTCCTTGCACATTGCCTGAAAATTAATTGATTAGTTTGGGCACCCAAACAAGTTTGGAGCCCGGGAACATATGAGAATTTTTCTTAATGGATGCATGCACGTGGGATTTAGGAACAGGTTGTAACGCCCGCAGATTCGGGCTAGTCAATTTAGAGATGATAAGTGTCAAAAAATGACTTTTTGATATAGGATTATTTAGAATAAATAATCTTAACTAAGTTGTAGTATATGTCACAAGTCGAAGAAGTTATGACCAGTCGAAGTTTCGCAACAAACCGGCTCGACACTGGGAATCGTTAAAAGTGAGTTTACGATAAAGTACTTTTTGGCCTTAGTGACCTAAACTAATGTTGTATAGTAAGTCTCCACCTACGTGTGGATATAAAGAACATCAAAAATGGAGCTCGTATGCAAAAGTAATGACCTTCCGAACATGTAGCTGTCTGAGGGCATGACATGTGAAATTAGTCAATGACGCTAATCTAGGCTAGAAAAACACGTGCTAAGTCTACGAGAGTGATGTGTTAAGATTCCACGAAGTAGAGATAAAGGCCACGACGTGGAAATGTCATCGGACACCTTTTGAAGCTAGAACGCAGATGGCAAGCCTACGAAGTGAGTCAGCGATCTCCACGATGTGAACATGTCATCTCCACGACATGGACTTACCCAGAACACCCTATAAATAGCAATTTCAACATAACCATTCTTACACCAAATTCTTTTTTTTCTCTCTCTCTCTTTTGTTGAAGGTGTTCCGCGTCCTAAGCCTGACGATCACGAACCGCTGACCGTTTCTAGTTAGATTCTATCAACTCATGCTACTAAGGTTAGTGCATAGTTACTTTCATCTTACACATAGATATGAAGTATTTAATATAAATTACATGCTATGTGTGCATATTATATGTGTTTATGATATCTATGCTAGATGAACAAAATGTATATGTTTTATTCAATTTAAACTGTATATGTATTTTCTACCTATAAATTACAATGGGTAAAGATTGGTAGATGAAAGATAATATAGATCATGAGAAATGAAAGATTATGATGAGAGGTTAAAAATGATGAGAAGCCTTAACCCAAGCGTTGGCCCCGTCATCTAGCAGAGTATGGATGACAACCACGGACTATTCTAGACGGTCTGGTGGAACACTAGCAGGCGCGCAACCTGTACGTGTTGTGAACGATATGTTCACCCGGTGTACTCTAAAAAAACCATTGAAACGTATTGCGAGTGGACTCTAAAAAATAATACTGTCAATAATTAAGATAAACCTTGGCAGCTATGGACTTAGCGTATGTTGGATGAACCCTGGCAACTATGGACTTAGTGTCTGTTATATAAACTCTGGCAACGATGGACTTTGCTACTATTCCTTAGGTTAATCCTTAGGAATAAATGTTGAGGAATAGATGATTCTTAGGGAAGATACTTAAGAATAAAGAAAATAATGGGGATGGGTAATTGGTTTAATTGTTTGATGATTAAACATAATAATTATATTATTGTGGGTTGAAAACCCTATGTACTCACCAGGTTTCCCAACGTGACCCACTCAGTCTATTTTTATCACAGGTATCGAAATAAAGCTACATTACACTGAGAGATTAAAGGAGATGTAAATCACTAGTGTAAATAAGGTCTGTTTATGCTTATGTTTATGTATTGATGATGACATCCCAAAGTTTTATTATAAACAAAATACATTTCTTCGGAAATTCTTTGATAATATATTTATCATGTTTTCTGGGAACAAATTTCGCAATATATTTCATTAAAAATATACTCTGATTTTTAAATAAAGCATAAACAAATCGGTATTTTCTGGCCGTGAAATTGGGGATGTCACACAGGTTGCTTTTCAGTTTTTGAACCTAGTCCATGGTGTTTCACAACTTGTGGGATGTTACGAGGTTGGATTGGACATGACGCTTTTAGCAGATAAAATCCAAAGGAGAGATTTTTCTCGTTTATCCAGACACCGTACTTTGTCAACGGTCCGGAGGATGTGGTTGGAAACTTGTGACCGATCCTTGGGTGATGTTTGGCTACAGTGACCTTGTGACTTGAAAAAGTTGTGTCACGTGAACTAGTATTAGATTTTGACCTGATGACTGACTGATGTGATTTTGAACATTCAGGAGTTGGCAGAATACCCTTCCACTTTGGATCATTTAAGGAATATTGTTGAAATGACGTGACTTTCTTTTGAGATTTTGCAGAATGTTTGAAAAAGATTTTGTCACAGTACATTCTTTTTTGCTTGATCCAATGACCGCAGTATTTTTTGAAAGATTTTTGGCAGTAATGGGATTTTCAAAATTCTTTTGATTTGAAAGCTTGGCTTGTTTGAAAGTTTTATTTTTGAGATCAGTTTCGCTCTTTTTACCTCGGGATCTAAGCTCCTCTTTGAAAGCCAAATTTGCTTTAGTCTTTGGAGAAACACAATCAGAGACATTTAACTGCGGTTTCTTGAAAATCTTTGAATGAGTTGAAAAACGGGGACTTGAGTAATCAGAACTAGAAAGTTCAGGACTCTGAGAACATTGTCCAAATTCAAAATTTTCAATTGGCACTTCATGAAGAATGGGATGAAGAATCGCTGTGCTTTTGACTGGGGTTTGCGGTACAGATGACTGGACTACCGCAGAGTATGTTAAAGATGTTTTTTTGTTGGGACACTTTATGGAAGGCAAGGATGGACAATTTACAACTAGTCTTGGTCATTCCACAATGATTTATTCATCTACATATGAAGTGGACTGAGAATCGAGACAAATTATGCCAATGATGGGTAATTGATTATTTGGATTACCTGAGGATTCAGGAAGAATTTCCTCAATGACACAGTTATTACTCGGTTCGTGAAGTCTACCGAAGTGACATTTTATGTCTTCAGGGAATGTTTTATCATTGACTGGATAATGAAACTCACGATCCGGTGGGACATATGGACGATCAACATTAAACCGGGGAGTAGAGTTCTCTTTGGTTGAGTAACCATTGGACCATCCCCAGTTATAAGTGTTGTCTACGGTCCCATTGTTAACTAAATTTTCAATTGCTTCAGTCTCATTAAAGAGCTTTTCTATTAACTGATTGAAACGTACAATCTCTTTCCAGGCAAGATCCCGTTGATTTAAAGCAATATCTAACTGAGTTTCACTTAACATCCTAGCATCATTTTCTAGTACCAAGTCCTTTTCTAACATGGAAACCTTAAGCCTTTTATCTTCTAGTCTTCCTCTCACATGATAAAGTTCTTGGGACGCTATGTTCTTTTCGTCTAGGGCCTTGTTGTAGTCTGAAAGGACGGCAACACACGTGTTATTAATTCACTACTAGAAAACAGCCCTTTAATGACACGCAAACAATGACACACACTGATTTACGATACGCATTTTTTGTGTGTCCTAAAAATATTGTCAGCTTTCCAAAATTTAAAGGATAGAGGACACGCATTTGTGCGTGCCCTAAAATTAATGTCAAACAAAAAAAATTACAAACACGGAGGGTGCTTATGTTAAATGTGTGTCAGCTAGAAATGTCGCTTTATAATTTTTTAATTAGGCGCGCGTTTTTAAGGGTGGAAAGTGAAATCACTAAAATTCTAAAAATATTTAAGTGTCCGCTTCTCCACTCTATCCTCTTGATCTCCTTCCATTCTCTCCCTCCATTCTCTGTGCAAACCCTAAGCCATCGCCATCTTCCTTCTATCTAGGACGTGCTAGGGTTTTATTTTATTTTAAGCTTCAACTTCTCCTGATTTTCTCTCTCTCTACCTCCTACTACTCGACAACCACCCACTACCCTTCGTCTTCTCTCTGGTTCACCACCGCCACCAATAAAGCCCCATTATACCCCCGACACAACATACCACAAGATCACCACCCCTCTTTCGCACCACCATCGTTGGTTACTAACACCATCATTTGTATAAAAAACCCAAGAACCACCAAGCCACCCTTTTCCGCCATCCATCTCCCTCTTTTCTGTCTATCTGTAACAGACCACTGCAACATCGCATTCATGATCGGCCCAGGCTACTTATGATTTGGAATAAATTGGTAGGTAGACAGCAATGCCTCTTTTACCTCATCCATCCTATATGTCTCTATCTCCGGTGGCGATACAATGAAGCACGGGATTAAGAAATCGGAGGAGGGATTGAGAGAATTTGTCGCTTCCTCCAGTTTCTCTTTTGATTCTGGTAAGTTTATATTCGATTTCTCTTTCTTCAGAATTCTTTTTCACATATTTCTTCCCATCTGATTTTATGATTTCAGATTTCTCCCATATGATTTTGATCTTAGATTGAGATTTAGAATTCTCAATCTTTGGTTTCTCTTTTAGAAGCTTCATAATCTTGTGATGGTTGCTGGGCAGAAGTATTACAGGGCTTCATCTAGGGAGTTGGTGAGGATTTGTTAGCATACATAAATCTCCAATTACTAATCTTTTGGAGAATCGATTGTTGGAGCAGGCACAATTCGGGGTTTTGGACAAGAAAAAAGGTTCATGAAGAGGAATCTTTATCTTCTTGATTGCTTTGCTAGCCCATTCTTCTGTAGTATTGCAGCTATTGAATGGTTTTGCCTACACATGGAGTTGATTTCAACGTTTGTTTTTGCTTTCTGTCTCGTTCTGTTAGTCAGTTTTCCATGTAAAGCTATAGATCCCAGTAAGTTCTTCCGTTCCATAATTCTTGTTATGTTGCGTTGTTCATTACATATGTGATTTTGTTTTGTTTGATGTGTAACTTGTTGATTTAATAATCAGGTATGGCGGGATTGGTTGTGACTTATGGGCAGCCACTACTTTTGATTGCATCATCATCATTTCACCTAAAGAAGTCCTCGTCTTTCTTGATGCCTGGAAGTATGCACACAACTTTCCTCCATATAATAATAAGCTACATGTCCTTCTATATAACTTTTTAATCAATTTTTTAAGGTGCAAATATACAATCTTATAACTTTCTACTCTTTATGATTCCTACAGGTGCTGGTTTCCCGAGTGTGAAGATAGTTGTGGTTGGAACTGGTACAGCAAGCATATATGCTGGTTTCACGAGTATGTTTCTTTGATATTAGTGATTTTTTCCAGCTTTAGTGTAAAATTGTTTTTGGTTATTAAAAAGAAACATTTTCAATTACCGTAATAGTAGAATCATGACTTATTTTTGTTTGAAAATGCTTTGAATTATTGTATGTTTAACCATTGGATTTCTTTTGAGTTTTTGTCTCTTTATATTATAAGGGATATATATTTGGGATGTTATGTTTAAGCATAATTAATTTGTTTTGTTTTTGGTTATATTGTTTTGTTTTGTTGTTTAAACTTTCCCTCCTTTAACTAGTTTGAAAATTTTAAAATATTCAGATTCCATTTCTTAGTAATTAATATATATGATTCTGTTTTCCTAATTACTTGAGTAGTGTGTCTGTAAATTTTTGATTATTAATAAATAAATAAATATATACGATGGATGATTTTGCAGGAAGAAACTGATAGGTGAGGCAAAGGCTACTTTTATCCCACAAGTTCCAGAGGCGTTGAAAACAAGTCTGATCAAGCACATTAGAGCTCATGTGGATCCATGAAACAAGTCAACAAGAATAGGAGGTAAATTATGTTTCTTTTTTCTTTTTTTAATCTTTTGACCCATCATCAGGTACACGTGCTTCTGCTGGATCAATTGGACTTGTTTTCTCTTTTGAATCAGCATAATTTTTGTCTTAATTGTCTTAATCAGGATAAAGGACATATCTTTGTTGACCATAATAGTTATCTTTGGAACTGAGAAGGTTTTGAAACAAGTTGTAGAGAATGTCTTAAAGGAGGTTGCATCCTTTTCCAGTAACTGGCTTTGTTTTACAATCAACCTGAATTAAAAGTCTTGTCTGAGCTTTTCAATTCTGTCTTGAATTTTGATGCATCAGGTGGAAGGAAGATCTTTCCAAGGAACCACAAGTAGAACAAGAATTGATGCTTGTGATGCTTAATGTCAATCAAACCACAAGATCTAAGGTGAGGACTACATACATCGATCTATTGGATATATAATGTTTGAAACCAAATATACATATTCTTATGAAACTTTTTATTTGTTTAGTCAATGGCAGATCAAATTGAACAAATGGGAATTAAAATAGAAACACAAAAAAAGGATTTTGAGGAATAAACTTGAGTCAACACAGGTAGGAACCACGAGTAGAAGAGTGTTCCAATTTGAGCAATAAACTTGAGTCAACACAGGTATATTATAATTCATAGCTATTGATTCACTTCTTTTTTATAATATTCTCTTAAACTATTACTAATAAATGTCTTTTCTTATTTTTTTTTAATGCAGAACAAACTAAACCAAACCAATAATGTGTTGGCTAACACCGAAGAAACACTCAAGAAATGTCAATATGCTCTCAAGCAGCGAGATTTTATCATAGAAGAACAGAAAAAAGCAGGTGTGCTTATTTTATAAATATGTCAATATTTTTTTATCTACTTTTTATTTGTATCTTTTATATATTTTTTGAATATTGCTTACGAAAAATGCGATGACTCATCAAGTTTGTGTACTCCGGTCTGACTTAGAGAAATCTCTTCAAGACAATGCATCATTCTTTATGAAAATTGGTATGCATTCTTTTATAAAATATAAAAACTATTTATTTCAATTTATAACTATCTACTCAAATTTATGTAGCAAGAGAAGATAAACTAAATGCGGGTAATAGATCAGTTATAAATAAATTTGAGTGTAAACTGGCACAAGATGTTGGTTCTCTTTCCAACATGGTGGCTGCTTCTGTATCTCAACAAAATGAACAACTTCAATGCATTGAAAAATTCTATAACATTTTCATCAGCATTAATGATCAGGTTCAACTTTCATCAAATTAAGTTACTTGTTTTTTGTTTTGTTTATCTTTTTGATTGTTTATATGATTTTATGATTTAGGCCATGGCTGAGTTAAAGAAAAAAGTTTATGCATCAAAGAATTTGTATATATCTCATATTGAAGCCTTGGAAAACATTGTAAGGTTACATAAGGAAAGTGTTAATGGAAGTTTAGAAGATATTTCATCCATGGCTTCTTCCAATGCTCGTTATGTTGAAGAAGTAAGTTAACAAACTATAATTTAATTAAAACTTGTTTTTGTTTATTATTACTTAATTTGAGTATGTGTATGTATATATTTTTTCTTTTTAGCTATTAGCTGAAGAATCTGCACAAGGGCGATCTATATTTGATGTGCTTCAAGGAACATTATCAACCCAACGGTGAGGTTTTATTTTCTTTACTTGAATGACTTGCATATATGTTATTGCTTTTCTATCTTGTTAATTAATCAAGATTGATACACATTTAATCTTTGCAGGTTTCTCGTAATTAGTAATCAACTAATCATATATTTGTTTGAATGAATGAAGATGTTTACTTGAATGACTTGCATATATGTTATTGCTTTTCTATCTTGTTAATTACTCAAGATTGATACACAGTTAATCTTTCTTCCTGACATCATACGCAACTGCTCACATCAAAGGTCACCTATACGTGATGCTTATTTGACCCTTTTCAAGGTGAGCTGTTTCTTCAACTTGTTTCTTTGTATCTGCCAAGATCATTGGGCATGCAGTTCCAAAACTACTTACAATAAGTCCTACCAGCCATCTTAGATGGGAAGTTTTATCTTTGTGTTTACCATTTTACCCTTTTACTTCAAGCCTTTCTGAATACTAATGTGTTGATAATGAAAACAGTTATCAAGTGGAAACAGAAGCATAACAATAAGAAGTAGAAACAAGGTGTTCCTTAATAGCAATGTAGTACTAGGTTATATAGTTAGGGAAAACCTCTTAATAACAATTTATAACTAGATCCCCTTAATACCAATGTATTGCAATTTTTTGACATGATGTTATTGGATGAAATTGATTGTTTTGGTATATATTTGTTTCCATATTTTTGTATTATGCGTAAATGAGTATCGTAAAGACGCTTCGTATATGTATATCGTAAATGGTTGTTGAAGTTTATGACACGTAAATACGTGTCATCTTCATTAATGACAGGGGCTTTAATGATACGCAATGTGTATCCTAAACGGGCGTCATAAGGTTACGACATGCAAATGCGTGTCGTCTTCCTTTATGACAGGGGCTTCCTTGATACGCATCACGCGTCATAAATGCGTGTCCTAAATGCGCGTCGTAAATGCGCATCGTCTATAGACGATGCGCAAAAGCGTGTCGTCTATCGTTATGACAGGGCCTTCCTTGACACGCATTTGTGCGTCGTCTGAGCGTTTTACGACATGCATTGCGCGTCGTAAAAGGCTGTTTTTCTAGTAGTGAAGTCTTTTTAAGTATGGTTCACAATCATGCATACTGTAGTTATTAGAATGAATCATAATTTTTACCTGTTCGACGATGCTGAGAGTGCCATCTTTGGCCATGTAGCAGTAATTCCTCTACAAATTCGTCGATCCGTCCTCTTTAGTAGTTGCAACCATGCAGATCTTCCCTTTTCTTTTGTTGTTGTCAAATTCTTCATCCTCATCTCCAGATGACCACACCATATGATATCTCTTTACTTGAGCAACATAAGCTCTTTCGTTTTCTTTCTCCTCCATCTCTCGTGTCATTCTTAGATAGAATGCCTTGTCCTTAACCACATTTGCTTTGCAGTCTTTGGCAAAGTGATTCTCTTTATGAAACTTATGGAAGATAATGACTTCATCTTTATCTTCAGTGGAGGTACCGGAGTCTGATGGTTTGTTGGACTGCGGTGCCTCTTTGGTATGATGTGCATTCTGTGGTTGGGCTGGATGGTGAGGGTTTCTAGGATATCTTGAGTGATTATTCTGTGGATTGAAGTTGCGGTTAAAAGGTGGTTTGGTAAAATGCTGATTTTTACGAAATGATGGTGGTGGTAGCCTGTTGAATTGTTGGCTAACCAAGGCGATGGCATTTTGAAATTCTTCTTCGTCATCAATTTCAGCATCAGCTTCATATAACTGCGGTGGATTGTCATATGAAAGTGGGTAGGATGACTCTGTGGGATATGAATACAGTGGAGTTTTGACTTGTGGATTCTGAGCCATCAGGGCGAGTGGTCCACCCAGGTCTGCACAATCCTTTAGCACAGTTGATTCTTGTACTTGAAGTTCTCCATATAACTTAAACAAGGACAACGTATGAATCTTTTTATCCCCTTGCACAATCATCTTTGAGGTAGACCAATGTCTTCCCAAACCGTTCAGAAATTGCAGGTTTGTTTCATGATTACTTCGAACTATACCAGCATTTGATAACTTCGTGATGATGAGATTGAACCGTTTGAACGAATCGTCAAGACTTTCACCGGGAAGAGCTTTATAGTTGTTAAACTCATTGAGAGATGTGGTGAGTTTCTTATCCTGAGCTTGTTCTGACCCCTAATAGAGATTCTTGAGCACATCTCAAATCTCCTTGGCAGACTTGCAGTTGATGATGATGTCAAAATTATATGGAGCAACACCGAAAGAGATTTCATAAAAGGCTATGGCATCATTCTCCATTTTGTCAAGATCATCTTTTGTTGGTCGATTCATTGCTGCCTGGCCTCCATCTAGTCGTGCTTGAGCACCATCTGCTTGAACAGGAGTGAGAACATGGACATGGGGTCCTTCTTCCACATACCTCCATACATCTCTACTGAGCCTCTTGAGATACATTTCCATTCTCTGAGAAAAATGATGGTATTCATTTGCAACAAGTATTGGAGCTCTGTTCGAGCCTCCAACACTGTTGGAAACGTTCAACGATAAAGCTTGTGCCATATTTCCTTTGTTTTGTTTTTTTTTTGTTTTTTTTTTATTTTCAAGAATGAGCTTCAGTGGTATAGAAGGCTTTTCAAAATCAGAGTTTTGTTTAAAAAGCAACCACTTTGGCTCTGATACCAATTGTAGAGAGAAAAACTTTTGAAGAACACTTGAACAAACGTTAGTGCAAGATAATAAGTTATGGAATAAGTTAATATCAAGGATAAAGTTAGCTCAACAATAATAAGTTAGAAGTGTTAGGTTGTTAGTTGCGGAAATGTAAAGGAAATATAAATCACAACAAGTTATATAAAGTTGACACCAAGGTGATTCATAACAAGGTTTGAAATCAAACACAAGTTACGAAATGCGAACAACTTAAGGTGAAGAGGAACTCGGTTTATCAAAACATAATAGATGGAGATGAGTGATTTTTTGTATTACAATGATAGTTCAGAAAGATCGTGAAGGTGTGTTAGATTACATGAGATGGGATCCTCTATTTATAGAGTTCCTAAAAGTTACATTTAAACTAAAATAATAATATCGTACTGACTTTGGTTACCATGCAAGGTTCAATGGATAAAACAATGCTAACACGCAAAGTCAGTAAAGTAACTTTGGAAGTCTTCATCATTCATCGTAGATAAAGTTGGAATAAATCTAAGTTCAATAAAAATAAAGATATATGTGTTTTTTTAGGCTAGAAGATGTCTAAAGAGGTTAGAAGACTCTAGTCCACATTTGCGCCAATAAAAGGATGCACATACATTTTTAGGTCTGCAATCTTCAAAAAAACAAACAATCTGCGAAAACTAATGTATGGGCTTGGTCTGCGCAGTGTAGACCGAAGAGGCCAAGATCGAGATATAAAGAATCCATATAGATAGTATCATGTGGTGTAGCCTAATATAAGAGACATAGTGTATGGTGAACTTGAATATCTATGTAATCGTTTCAAGTAATAATATAAAACCTTAGTTATGTTATTTGATATGTTAAGTTGTTGTATGATTTTTCTTGTGCGGTGACTTGGAGAACTGAGAGACAATACTTGGGAAGAGTATGAGTAGGTGTGAAAGGTAGTAGAGGCCTATACTGTTGGAAGCACAAGACTCGCACTATGATCAGGGAAAGTCACAAGGTTACCAAGGTGCTAGTAATTGATTCTGATTTGTTCATGTCTATCGTTACCATCGTTTCGGTAATGACTAAGAAGATGATTGTTATTCCGACCCTAGTGGTCATATCAAATCGAATCCGGATAATATAAATCTGATACGTGGTTCAGAGAACCAAGTTCGATGTAACATCCGACTTAAGCTAGAAGATTAAAGTAAAAGATAATCGATGAAATCAATAGAAGTGTCACGATCGCCGTTAAAGTAAGAAGCTTGTAGCTAGACGTGCTACATGCTAGAATGTGATTATATCACATTAGAACATGAAGGAAGGTATCTTCCATTCTAGAATCTGACTCAAAAAGACTTGAGTCTAAGCGTTGCATCATACAATGAGAGGTCATTAGAACATGGACCATCGGGTTGTTACGATAATCGAAGTAAAGACCTTATCTTAAGTTAAGTATGTTTAAGAAGAAGCAGGAGTCTCCAAAAAGGACCGAGTTTGTAACTCAAAGGTTACGATTGAAAGTACAACATAGGATCAAGAACGGGTGCAAGATTGCGCACCGCCAGCAGTCAAGGAGTCCTAGAGTTAGATACTCATTTGAAAGGACATAAGTTACAATTACCACCTAGGATGGAAAGGTAACGTACGGAGTCATTATACAAGCATTGTTTTGTTGATGATTTCGGGACGTAATCATCCTAAGGGGGAGATAATTGTAACACCCGCAGATTCGGGCTAGTCAATTAAGATATAATAAGCGTTAAAAATGGTTTTTATTATAAAATATTATCTAGGATATATAATATTAACCAAAGTAATAGTTATGGTCAACAATTGTAACCTATTTTATTTAATAAAGAAGAATTATGTGAATATTATGTGTTTCATGATTATTATAATATAATAAAATAGGAAAAGTCAGTCGAATCGTCCGTAAATCGTAAAAATAAGTTCGCCAAAACATATATATATATATATATATATATATATATTATTTAGAAAGTACACATCTTCCCGGTCCCGAAAATATAAATTTTACAGAAATCCGACTCCGTATGAAATAAATATCATTTTTATAAGATATAAAAGTCAGTCGCGCACAACGAATGTATGACGTAAAAAGCTACGGAGGGAATGGTTGACTTTTAGCTAAAGCCACCAAAAAGAAAATCGTGTACTCTTTAAAATAAGAATTTTGAGAAAAAAAAAATGCCAAAAAAGGATTCCGTACGAGAGAGATATGATTTTAGCAAAATCATTTAAATTTATAAAAATATAGAAGAAAAATAAAGTCAAAATTAGCCAACGGAGTCTAAATGAAAGTTGTAGATCTCGTCGATAGCTACGC